ACGTTAGCTCCATTAATACACTGTTTATATGCTGCTCAGAGCTAGCCTGATGCTAACGTTAGCTCCATTAATACACTGTTTATATGCTGCTCAGAGCTAGCCTGATGCTAACATTAGCTCCATTAATACACTGTTTATATGCTGCTCAGAGCTAGCCTGATGCTAACGTTAGCTCCATTAATACACTGTTTATATGCTGCTGAGAGCTAGCCTGATGCTAACGTTAGCTCCATTAATACACTGTTTATATGCTGCTGAGAGCTAGCCTGATGCTAACGTTAGCTCCATTAATACACTGTTTATATGCTGCTCAGAGCTAGCCTGATGCTAACGTTAGCTCCATTAATACACTGTTTATATGCTGCTCAGAGCTAGCCTGATGCTAACGTTAGCTCCATTAATACACTGTTTATATGCTGCTCAGAGCTAGCCTGATGCTAACGTTAGCTCCATTAATACACTGTTTATATGCTGCTCAGAGCTAGCCTGATGCTAACGTTAGCTCCATTAATACACTGTTTATATGCTGCTGAGAGCTAGCCTGATGCTAACGTTAGCTCCATTAATACACTGTTTATATGCTGCTCAGAGCTAGCCTGATGCTAACATTAGCTCCATTAATACACTGTTTATATGCTGCTGAGAGCTAGCCTGATGCTAACGTTAGCTCCATTAATACACTGTTTATATGCTGCTCAGAGCTAGCCTGATGCTAACGTTAGCTCCATTAATACACTGTTTATATGCTGCTGAGAGCTAGCCTGATGCTAACGTTAGCTCCATTAATACACTGTTTATATGCTGCTGAGAGCTAGCCTGATGCTAACGTTAGCACACTGTGCTGCTAGCTAACAGGCCAATGAGAACTGCTGTCAGTTAATGACTGCTGATATTGATTACATATTGATTATTGATGGTGTGATCAGGTCTCACTGAGTCGGTGGCGGCAGCAGCTTTCTCCAGAGTGGGACAGAGAGTTCTTCACGTTGACAGGTCGGTCCTCACTTTATTATTAATATACACCATTAATCATTATTATTATTATTAATATACACCATTAATCATTATTATTATTATTAATATACACCATTAATCATTATTATTATTATTAATATACACCATTAATCATTATTATTATTATTATTAATATACACCATTAATCATTATTATTATTATTAATATACACCATTAATCATTATTATTATTATTATTAATATACACCATTAATCATTATTATTATTATTAATATACACCATTAATCATTATTATTATTATTAATATACACCATTAATCATTATTATTATTATTATATTAATATACACCATTAATCATTATTATATTAATATACACCATTAATCATTATTATTATTAATATACACCATTAATCATTATTATTACTTTTTTTTTTACATGGATTAGTTTTTCTGCATCTGTCTGTGATAGTATGTGTCTAATGTTTCTAATATTATGTAAATGAAAGAAGGCAGTCCTAGAGGTCTGCTTTATGTGGGAGTTAAATGACAAATCCTGATCAAAGACAACTCCAAGATTCCTGACAGTGGTGCTAGAGGCCAAGTTAATGCCATCTAGAGTGACTACAGGTACTACTCGGAAAATTAGAATATCGTGTAAAAGTTGTTTTATTCAGGCAATTCAACATAAAAGGTGAAACCAATACATTCTATAGACTCATTACATGCAAAGTGAGATATCTCAAGCATTTCTTTGTTGTAATTTTGCTGATTATGATTTACAGCTTATTAAAAACTCAGAAAATTAGAATACTGTGAAAAGCTTCAGTATTGTAGGCTCAAAGTGTCACACACTAATCAGGTAAGTAATCCAAAACACCTGCAAAAGGGTCCTGAGCCTTTAAAAAGTCTGTTTGGTGTGTCTTGTTTGGTTTAGAAGAATTCACAATCATGGGGAAGACTGCTGATCTCACAGTTGTGCAGAAAACCATCATTGACTCCATCCACAAGGTGTGTAAGACACAAAAAGTGATAGCAAAAGAAGCTGGGTGTTCTCAGAGTGCTGTCTCAAAGCACATTAATGGACAGTTAAGTGGAAGGCAGAAGTGTGGAAGAAAACGGTGTACAAGCCGGAGGGATGACCGCAGCCTGGAGAAGATGGTCAGGAAAGGGCCATTCAAAAGTGTGGGGGAACTTTATAAGGAGTGGACTCAGGCTTCAAATGTCGAATTCCTGTTGTCAAGCCGCTCCTCACGAGCAAGCAACGCCAGAGGCGCCTTAGCTAGGCTAGAGAGAAGAAAGACTGGACTGTTGGCCAGTGGTCCAAAGTCCTCTTGTCTGATGAGAGCAAGTTTTGCATCTCATTTGGCAACAAAGGTCCCAGAGTCTGGAGGAAGACCGGAGAGGCGCAAAATGGAAGATGCATGAAGTCCAGTGTTAAGTTTCCCCAGTCTGTGATGGCTTGGGGATCCATGTCAGCTGCTGGTGTTGGTCCTCTGTGCTTTATCAAGTCCACCATAAACGCAGCTGTCAACCAGGACATTTTAGAGCACTTCATGCTTGCTTCAGTGGACCAGCTTTATGGGGATGCGTACTTCATCTTCCAGCAGGACTTGGCACCTGCCCACACTGCCAAAAGTACAAAATCCTGGTTCAACAACCATGGGATTACGGTGCTTGACTGGCCCGAAAACTCACCTGACCTAAACCCCATAGAAAATCTGTGGGGCATTGCCAAGAGAAAGCTTAACGGAGAAAGACCAAACAATAAAGAAGAGCTCAAGGCCGCGATTGAAGCATGTTGGTCTTCCATAACACCTGAGATATGCCACAAGATGGTAGCATCCATGCCACGCCGGATTAAGGCAGTCATTCGTGCAAAAGGGGCCCCAACCAAGTACTAAGTACAGATGCAAGATTTTACATTCAGAGGCCTGACATTTTTGTATTTAAAATCCTTTTTTTTTATTGATTTCAAGCAGTATTCTAATTTTCTGAGTTTTTGAATTTGAGGTTTTCTGAAGCTGCAAGTCCTAATCAGCAAAATCAAAACAAATAAAAGCTTGAAATATATTGATTTGCATACTATTTGTCTATATAATATGTAAATTTCACCTTTAAAGTTGAGTTACAGAAATACATGCACTTTTTCAGGATATTCTAATTTTCCGAGTAGTACCTGTATATCTTTAGACAGTGAGTCTCTAAGGTTTTTGGGGCCAAGAACAAGAATTTCGTTTTTTTCTGAGTTTAACAAAATTGCAGGTCATCCAGGATTTTATGTCCGTAAGACAGAGTATTTATACTTTATCAAGGAGTAATTGTACTTTATTAAGGAGTATTTATACTCTATTAAGGAGTATTTATACTTTATTAAGGAGCATTTATACTTTATTAAGGAGTATTTATACTTTATTAAGGAGCATTTATACTTTATTAAGGAGTATTTATACTTTATTAAGGAGTATTTATACTTTATTAAGGAGCATTTATACTTTATTAAGGAGTATTTATACTTTATTAAGGAGCATTTATACTTTATTAAGGAGTATTTATACCTTATTAAGGAGCATTTGTACTTTATTAAGGAGTATTTGTACTTTATTAAGGAGTATTTATACCTTATTAAGGAGCATTTATACTTTATGAAGGAGCATTTATACTTTATTAAGGAGTATTTATACTTTATTAAGGAGTATTTGTACTTTATTAAGGAGTATTTGTACTTTATTAAGGAGCATTTATACTTTATTAAGGAGTATTTGTACTTTATTAAGGAGTATTTGTACTTTATTAAGGAGTATTTGTACTTTATTAAGGAGCATTTATACTTTATTAAGGAGTATTTATACTTTATTAAGGAGTATTTGTACTTTATTAAGGAGTATTTGTACTTTATTAAGGAGCATTTATACTTTATTAAGGAGTATTTGTACTTTATTAAGGAGTATTTATACTTTATTAAGGAGTATTTGTACTTTATTAAGGAGCATTTATACTTTATTAAGGAGTATTTGTACTTTATTAAGGAGTATTTATACTTTATTAAGGAGTATTTGTACTTTATTAAGGAGCATTTATACTTTATTAAGGAGTATTTATACCTTATTAAGGAGCATTTATACTTTATTAAGGAGTATTTGTACTTTATTAAGGAGTATTTGTACTTCATTAAGGAGTATTTATACTTTTATTAAGGAGTATTTGTACTTCATTAAGGAGTATTTATACTTTATTAAGGAGTATTTGTACTTTATTAAGGAGTATTTATACTTTATTAAGGAGTATTTATACTTTATTAAGGAGTATTTGTACTTCATTAAGGAGTATTTATACTTTATTAAGGAGCATTTGTACTTTATTAAGGAGTATTTGTACTTTATTAAGGAGTATTTATACTTTATTAAGGAGTATTTGTACTTTATTAAGGAGCATTTATACTTTATTAAGGAGTATTTATACCTTATTAAGGAGCATTTATACTTTATTAAGGAGTATTTGTACTTTATTAAGGAGTATTTGTACTTCATTAAGGAGTATTTATACTTTATTAAGGAGTATTTGTACTTCATTAAGGAGTATTTATACTTTATTAAGGAGTATTTGTACTTTATTAAGGAGCATTTATACTTTATTAAGGAGTATTTATACTTTATTAAGGAGTATTTGTACTTCATTAAGGAGTATTTATACTTTATTAAGGAGTATTTGTACTTTATTAAGGAGCATTTATACTTTATTAAGGAGCATTTGTACTTTATTAAGGAGTATTTGTACTGTGTTATCCGTCCTCTTTCTGTGAGCGAGCTGTGGCGGCTGCGGTGGCGGCGCTCAGACAGGAGGTGGCGTGTGGCGGTTGATCATGTGACACAGGTGAGCTGCTGTGTTTACAGGAGGAGTTATTACGCCGGCAACTGGGCCAGCTTCACCTTCAGCGGCCTGCTCACCTGGATACAGCAGCACCATGTGAGTACAGGCTGCGCTCTGATTGGCTGCTGAGCATTATTGATTAGTTCCACTCATTATTGATCAGGTGACTGTGTGTGCTGGTAGGAGGAGCCTCTGCCAGAGGAGGCTCAGGATTGGTCGAGCCTGTTGGAGGAAGGGGAGGAGCTGATCCACCTGTCACACTCAGACTGCGCCTCCATCAGGAACCTGCAAGTGTTCTGTTTCACCAGGTAAACCTGAGCTGGGCTTCCTGTCTAGATATTTCACAATAAAAGCCTCAGATAAAATGATCACAGATATCACTCAGTTATTAATTAGTTATTAATGTCAGTGAGGAAGATGAGGAGGAAGAGGCTCCAAACACCACAGAAGAAGAAACAGGAGGAGCTGCTGAAGACTCAGAATGTGCAGGTTGGATTCTGATCAATAGTTTGATCACTTATTGATTTTCATACAATGATTGATTGTTCAAAGCAGGAGAAACATCTGAAATGGGGATTTGTTTTTATCCCAGATTCCACAGAAGAAGAGACGAAAGAGACCGGAGAGGAGGAAGAGGAGGTGAGGGAGGAAGAGGAGGTGAGGGAGGAAGAGCAAACAACCCCCTCTGCTGCGCTCCGCCAATCAGAACCAACGAAGAAGAAGATCAGCTACGCTCAGCTGCTGAAGGAAGGACGCAGGTTCAACATCGACCTGGTCTCCAAGGTAACGGCCGCCATCTCTCAGCAACGTGTATAACAAAGTATTATAATGTATTATGTCGTTGTCGTTGTTGTCATTGTTGTCGTTGTCGTTGTCGTTGTTGTTGTTGTTGTTGTTGTTGTCAGCACTCTCAGCAATGTTTCTTCTTCTCTTCCTCCAGCTGATGTATTCTCGCGGCTCATTGGTCGATCTGCTCATCAAATCAAACGTCAGTCGTTACGCAGAGTTCAAGAACGTCACCAGGATACTGACCTACAGAGACAGACAGGTGGAACAGGTGAGTGCGACGGGTTGATACCTGTCTGTCTGTGGACCCACCTCTCTGTCTGTATACTCACCTGTGTGTCTGTGTTCCTGTCTGTCTGTGTACCTGTCTGTCTGTATACTCACCTGTCTGTCTGTGTTCCTGTCTGTCTGTGTTCCTGTCTGTCTGTGTACCTGTCTGTCTGTATACTCACCTGTGTGTCTGTGTTCCTGTCTGTCTGTGTACCTGTCTGTCTGTATACTCAGCTGTCTGCATACTCACCTGTCTGTCTGTATACTCACCTGTGTGTCTGTGTTCCTGTCTGTCTGTATACTCACCTGTCTGTATACTCACCTGTCTGTATACTCACCTGTCTGCATACTCACCTGTCTGTCTGTATACTCACCTGTCTGTCTGTGTTCCTGTCTGTCTGTATACTCACCTGTCTGCATACTCACCTGTCTGTCTGTATACTCACCTGTCTGTCTGTGTTCCTGTCTGTCTGTATACTCAACTGTCTGTCTGTATACTCACCTGTCTGTCTGTATACTCACCTGTGTGTCTGTGTTCCTGTCTGTCTGTGTTCCTGTCTGTCTGTATACTCAGCTGTCTGCATACTCACCTGTCTGTCTGTATACTCACCTGTGTGTCTGTGTTCCTGTCTGTCTGTATACTCACCTGTCTGTATACTCACCTGTCTGTATACTCACCTGTGTATCTGTGTTCCTGTCTGTCTGTGTTCCTGTCTGTCTGTATACTCAGCTGTCTGCATACTCACCTGTCTGTCTGTATACTCACCTGTGTGTCTGTGTTCCTGTCTGTCTGTATACTCACCTGTCTGTATACTCACCTGTGTGTCTGTGTTCCTGTCTGTCTGTATACTCACCTGTGTGTCTGTGTTCCTGTCTGTCTGTATACTCACCTGTGTGTCTGTGTTCCTGTCTGTCTGTATGCTCACCTGTCTGTATGCTCACCTGTCTGTCTGTGTTCCTGTCTATCTGTATACTCACCTGTCTGTATACTCAGCTGTCTGTCTGTGTTCCTGTCTATCTGTATACTCACCCGTCTGTATACTCAGCTGTCTGTCTGTGTTCCTGTCTATCTGTATACTCACCTGTCTGTATACTCAGCTGTCTGTCTGTGTTCCTGTCTATCTGTATACTCACCTGTCTGTATACTCAGCTGTCTGTCTGTGTTCCTGTCTATCTGTATACTCACCTGTCTGTATACTCAGCTGTCTGTCTGTGTACCTGTCTGTCTCTCAGGTGCCCTGCAGCAGAGCCGATGTGTTTGCGAGTCGTCAGCTGTCTGTGGTTGAAAAGAGGAAGCTGATGCGTTTCCTCACTTCCTGTGTGGAGGAGACGGAGGAGCAGCGAGGTGAGGACACACCTGCTGACATCATCACTGCTCACCTGTCAGAGGTGCATTGTGGTTAATGTTGTTCTTTTATTCCCTCCAGCCTACAACGGGCGGCCATATTTGGAGTTCCTCCGTGACCGGCAGCTTGGGGACAACCTGCAGCACTTCCTGCTTCACTCCATCGCCATGGTAACAGAAGACACGCCCACAGAGGAGGGCCTGGCCTCCACGCGTCACTTCCTGCGCTGTCTGGGTCGCTACGGCAACACGCCCTTTCTGTTTCCTGTCTACGGCCTCGGAGAGATACCCCAGTGTTTCTGTAGGTAAGAACCTGTCTGCCTCTCTACCTACCTGTCTGTCTGTACTGCAGTATCTGTAGGGTCTCTGGAGGCAGGTGAGTTGGTCGTCATGGTGACGAGTGATGTCTCATTAGAACAGAACATGAATATTAATGAGGGGGTGTCGCCCAGGGCTCAGCTCATTTACATATTAGATCATCGTCAGCGGATATTAGTGCTCACACACACACACACACACACACATTATATATAATGTATAATACATATATAATATACACAGATATAATGTATATGTATATATTATATAAATATACACTACCAGTCAAAAGTTTGGACACACCTTCTCATTTAATGGTTTTTCTTTATTTTCATGACTATTCATCAAAACTATGAATGAACATATGGAATTATGTAGTAAACAAAAAAGTGTGAAATAACTCAAAACATGTTTTATATTTTAGATTCCCTTTGCTTTGATTACTGCTTTGCACACTCTTGGCATTCTCTCGATGAGCTTCACGAGGTAGTCACCTGAAATGGTTTTCCAACAGTCTTGAAGGAGTTCCCAGAGATGCTGAGCACTTGTTGGCCCTTTTGCTTTCACTCTGCGGTCCATCTCATCCCAAACCATCTCGATTGGGTTTAGGTCAGGTGACTGTGGAGGCCAGATCATCTGGCGCAGCACTCATCACTCTCCTTCTTGGTCAAATAGCCCTTACACAGCCTGGAGGTGTGTTTTGAATAAATCCCTAACAGTGTCACCAGCAAAGCACCCCCACTCCATCACACCTCCTCCTCCATGCTTCACGGTGGGAACCATGCATGTAGAGACCATCCGTTCACCTTTTCTGCGTCGCACAAAGACACGGCGGGTGGAACCAAAGATCTCAAATTTGGACTCATTAGACGAAAGCACAGATTTCCACTGGTCTAATGTCCATTCCTTGTGTTTCTTGGCCCAAACAAATCTCTTCTGCTTGTTGCTTTTCCTTAGTAGTGTTTTTTTAGCAGCTATTTGACCATAAAGGCCTGATTTGTCTCCTCTGAACAGTTGATGTAGAGATGTGTCTGCTACTAGAACTCTGTGTGGCATTCATCCGGGCTCTAATCTGAGGTTCTGTTAACCCTAACCCTGACTTCTGCACAACACAACTGATGGTCCCAACCCCATTAAGAAGGCAAGAAATCCACAAATGAACCCTTACAAGGCACAGCTGTGAAGTGAAAACCATTTCAGGTGACTACATCATGAAGCTCATTGAGAGAAGGCCAAGGGTTTGCAGCGCTGTCAACCAAGCAAAGGGTGGCTACTTTGAGGAATCTAAAATATAAAACTGGATGGGGCCAATCCGGTCCAGTATCGGTATCGGGACCGATACCAGCGTAATTCACGTATCGGATTTTCCCGAGCCAACCTGCGGAGATATCCGATATCAATGAGCCATGTGTGCGCTTTAACGCTGTCTGCTGAAATTACTCCACAGGTGATTCCTGCCGGCCAGTCTGCTGGCTGGCTGCAAACTGTGGAATGGATTTCCTGAACGGAGGCGCGGCTCAATGAGACACAGAGTAATGAGACACGCCCCCGCTCAGGAAATCCATTCAGCAGTTTGCAGCCAGCTAGGAAAGCCGTGATACAGAGAGGAGGAAGCTCCCTCGCGTCGTACAACACTACGAACACAATCAAACATTTAAAAAAGCACCACACGAAACAGCACGAGGATTATTTAGCCAGGGACAGAAAGACAAAAGGAGCTGTCAGGAATCACTTCTGGAGTCATTCCAAAAACAAGGTAAACTCCAGGCAGACAACGTGAAAGCTAAAGGGATGTGTGTGTGTGTGTGTGTGTGTGTGTGTGTGTGTAAGATGTTTACACTTTTCTTATATTTCAATGATTTGACATTTTGGGAATTTAATAAATATTGACATGACAATCAATTTGAAACCCTTACAGTTGCATATTTGTTTTCAGAATGGGATTTTTCCTGTTAACAGGATTTCCTGTTTTTCTGACTTCCTTTTCTGACCTTATACTTACCTCAAGTTTCCTTTTGGGACATACATGCATACATACGTACAGATCATACTTGCCTGTTGAGAGGAGTTTATTTCAGCCTCATATAAAATCAACAATAATGATAATAATAATATTAAAGCAAACAGAGCTCTGGTATCGGAATAGTATCGGTATCGGCCGATATCCAAATTCAGGTATCGGGATCGGATCGGAAGTGAAAAAATGTGGATCGGTGCATCCATATGAACATATTTAGAGTTATTTCACACTTTTTTGTTTACTACATAATTCCATGTGTGTTCATTCATAGTTTTGATGCCTTCAGTGAGAACCTACAGTGTAGTATAGTCATGAAAATAAAGAAAAACCATTAAATGAGAAGGTGTGTCCAAACTTTTGACTGGTAGTGTATATTGTATATAATGTATAGTTAGGTAACCTGTAATCAATATGATATTTGAGGTTAATCCCTAATATTGTAATAATAAAGCTTTTAATCTGAAACTCTGTTTTCATTGTGTACCTTGTTGTTTATTGATGGAAGAATTAAAATATATAGTTTTTTTGTTTGTGTGAAGGTTTTAATGGATAAAAACACTTAAAATCTACATTAAAGTATTAAATCTGAATGTTCACCTGAATTTAAAGATTTTAAAATATAAAATACAAACCCTGTTGTTGTTGTTGTTGTTGTTTCAGGATGTGTGCGGTGTTCGGGGGGATCTACTGTCTCAGACACTCAGTGGACGGTGTGGTGGTCGACCGAGACTCCAACAGGTACAGACACACTCATACATTCACAGAAGGAACTGATATGGAACCGATATCTCATATTGATCCCAATGATCTGGTCATCACTTCACTTCCTCTGTGTCTGAGAACAAAAAACAAACAGTCACTGAAGTCAACTCAGATCTAACACTGGCTGTTGAAACATTATTATTATTATATAATAAATAATAATAAAGTAGACTTTAGTAAACCTGAACCAAGCTGAAACAATATTGTGAACTTATGAAATAACTCATCTGTTTACAGTTGGTGTTCACGCTGTAATAACTGACACATATCCATCCAATAATAATCTGATTATCACCAGAAAGTGAAACTAAAGTGAATTAAACACAATAAAGTTCAGCAGCAGTTTCTAAGCTCTCATTAATAATATTAATATTATTATTAATGGATGTTGTAGCTTTAAATATGAAGAGACTCAACAGAGAGGTAGACAGGTGTGTGTGTGTGTGTGTGTGTGTGTGTGTGTGTGTGTGTGTGTGTGTGTGTGTGTGTGTGTGTGTGTGTGTGTGTGTGTGTGTGTGTGAGAGATTGTGTGTGTGACCTTCCAGCTGTGATTGGACGATAATTTATGATCAGTAAAATATTCAATTTATGGAGAGGAAATTAACATTATAATTTAACCTCCTCTTCACAGCTCACCGCTCTCTCTCTCTCTCTCTCTGTCTGTGTCAGTGTCTCTCTACCATTACTGTCAGCTGACTGATTGATTGACTGCTCTCTCTCTCTCTCTCTCTCTCTCACACACACACACACACACACACACACACACACACACACACAGGTGACCTATCGAAGGTCACGCTTTAACAGTGACTTCATCTGTCGGATTGTGTCGTCATGGAGACAGTAGCTCGTTAGCATGTTAGCTTCCCTCCCTCAGTCAGGTGTTAGTAAGAGCATATTTCTGTATTAGTTTCCATGGTTAGCACGTTAGCTGCTGTTAGCAGAGTCTGTGTTTAAAGCTCTGTGGAGGAGGACGTCTGTCATACAGTTTAATGCTCAGCAACGGGTTTTACAGACCGCTGACCGTACACAGGACAATATACGGAACCAACGCTAGACTGAAGACCTCCACCTACAGGAGGTTTCACTGGGTCACTGGGTCACTGGTTCACTGTTTCACTGGTTCACTGGTTCACTGGTTCACTGTTTCACTGGTTCACTGTTTCACTGGTTCACTGGTTCACTGGTTCACTGTTTCACTGGTTCACTGGTTCACTGGTTCACTGTTTCAGTGGTTCACTGTTTCACTGTTTCACTGTTTCACTGGTTCACTGGTTCACTGTTTCACTGGTTCACTGGTTCACTGTTTCACTGGTTCACTGTTTCACTGTTTCACTGGTTCACTGGTTCACTGGTTCACTGGTTCACTGTTTCAGTGGTTCACTGTTTCACTGGTTCACTGGTTCACTGGTTCACTGTTTCACTGGTTCACTGTTTCACTGTTTCACTGGTTCACTGTTTCACTGGTTCACTGGTTCAGTGGTTCAGTGTTTCACTGGTTCAGTGGTTCAGTGGTTCACTGTTTCAGTGGTTCACTGGTTCACTGGTTCACTGTTTCACTGGTTCACTGGTTCACTGTTTCACTGTTTCACTGGTTCACTGTTTCACTGGTTCACTGGTTCACTGTTTCAGTGGTTCACTGTTTCACTGGTTCACTGTTTCACTGGTTCACTGGTTCACTGTTTCACTGGTTCACTGTTTCACTGTTTCACTGGTTCACTGTTTCACTGGTTCAGTGGTTCAGTGTTTCAGTGGTTCAGTGGTTCACTGTTTCAGTGGTTCACTGGTTCACTGGTTCAGTGTTTCACTGGTTCACTATTTCACTGGTTCACTGTTTCACTGGTTCAGTGGTTCAGTGTTTCACTGGTTCAGTGGTTCAGTGGTTCAGTGGTTCAGTGGTTCAGTGGTTCACTGGTTCAGTGGTTCAGTGGTTCACTGGTTCAGTGTTTCACTGGTTCAGTGGTTCACTGGTTCAGTGGTTCACTGGTTCAGTGTTTCAGTGGTTCAGTGGTTCACTGGTTCAGTGGTTCAGTGTTTCACTGGTTCAGTGGTTCACTGGTTCAGTGGTTCAGTGGTTCACTGGTTCAGTATTTGAAGGTGTTTGAATTTGGAGCAGTAACAGTTTAATGTCTGTCTGTACCGGTTCCTCTGCTGGTTC